GCAGGTCCTTCCTCCCTGCAGCTGTCAGACTGTACAATCTGAACTGCTCCCAACAAACATAGATATTTACATCAATGCTGTAACTGCAATAATTCGCACTACAACCTGGTTTGCCTCTTACCTGTAATTATTTTTATTTAATTTAATATCTCTGTTTATAGTAACCATTGTCCTTAATGTAAATATGTAAGAAAAATTGTGTATGTTTCTGTTCCATGTCCTGTGTACTGTTTGTTTGTATATTTGTCTTTTTGGCTGCTGTTACAACCAAATTTCCCCTTTGTGGGACAATTAAAGGATTATTCTATTCTATAAATTCTTGTAATTTTTCCTTTACTTTCTTTTTTTTTGGGACCAAAACAAGGTGCCAAAAATTCTCACATGGGCAAACCCCCCCCCCTCTATTATCTTTCGGTTTACTATCAGTACATCTCCTACTTACTTCCTGACTGGCTCACGATCAGTGCCAATGACTCCATCTTGACGCTGAGCTACATTCCTGGTGGTTTCTTCCTTTTTAATGCCACAATCTTCTTCCTCCTTCTCTGACTCTTCTTTCTTGAATTCATTGTGTTGTGATGTTGTGTGGCGCTTTGATTTATTCCTAAACAGAGAGGAAAAATAAAGAAAAAAGAGCAAATTTTACCACTAATGTGCTTAATCTGACGTGAAGTAAATTGCACGATCGGTGCTCAGGCAGCATAATCGACGTACGTCTTTGTCTCAGTTTTGACAAGGTCATTTGGATCATCTCTTAATGCAAGGTCCTCCTTGAGAGCCACGTCTGGATCTGCAATGCTAATAGGGACATTAACACGACACTGGACATGTTGAATTTCACAGTACCGCTGGTAACATCCTCCCTCATTCCCTCTGATGTGCTTTTGATAAGTTATCACTCACCTGCCACCGCTTTCTTTCACAGAACCAGTGTCCGTCACTGAAAAAAACCACACACGTCTGTCAGTTTATTTTGAGTTGCTTGCACTTTCATTTCAAGATATTCACACAGTTCAACAAGTGCACAACAAAAAGGATGCAAGGGGTCTTCTCTTACCACATGAAAACGCCCCTGACTCTGCTTCGAGCTTGCATGTTGCTGCTGATGTGTGTGAGGCCCTGGTTGAAGGTTTCCCCCCACCTTTTCTAGTTTTGGGAAGCTTTGGTCCAATTGTTTTTGTGGATGCTGGGGAAATAAATGTGAACATGGGTTAATAACACACTTGTTAAGTGGTAAAAGGTAAAATGACTGCTTGCAGATGAACGGGATTCACATATGTGCATTACCCCGACTGGCTGTTGGTTTCTTTATTGCACTTCTGCAAGAAAGAAAGTTAAGAATCAACACATTTAAAGGTTTAGTTTTATTTTATTTATTTTTTGTATGCAGTAAATACACAGTTTTAAGAAGTCCCACTGAAATAACACTTCTAAGGTGTAAACAAACTTGTTTTCAAGGATGTGTCTAGCTTCTTCAAATAGTTTCGTCCACCAAAGTAGCAGCGCACGCACTTACTGCATGACAGGTGTGTTTCTGGTGCGTGATCCTGCAGGTCGACTGCGTGCGTCGCGTGAACTGGTCGCTTTTTTCTTGCATGTGATATTTCTGGACTCACAGGTCGTACCAGCTCCAGCTTCCCTTGATCGTAACACACGCACAGAGCCTGAGGTGACGGAACGAGTCTCACCGGAGTCCGGGAAGAACAAGGATGTTTTTGTCCGCCTTTTGCTTCCGGCTCTACCGCAGGAGGGCTCACTCGAGTCCGCGGTCGGTTTTGAGGCCGCTGTCGACTCTGCGGTCCGAGTTCCAGGACCAGTGCCTGAAACCTCGCCTTTCCCAGACTCCATTTCGCTCTTACAGTTATAGCCTTTACCGACTTTAGTGATTACTTAAGCCTAGTTACTTGTGAGCGTTCACAATGAAGGCCCACCATACAAGGCCAGAGCCAGCCCAAGTTTCGTTAGCCTGGCCAACGATCAATTTTTGTGCCACTGCATAAATAGCAAAATAGATTATTTAAAATATATAAGTTTAATGACGCATATTATTTTAGAAATACCCAGTATTATTTGGTTCTTAAAGCTATAGCATACCTCATATTTGTTTGACCGGGAGTACCCTCGAATGAGGTACGTCTCCTTTAAGAGCAACAGCGGCAGACGAGCCAGTATGACAACGTCATTTTTGGACTGACCGGCTTCCATACTGATGAGGGCGGACGTGTATGGGAACGGTAGTTTTGGAATATAACATGCAGTTTGGGTTGTGTAACAACAACAACAACAGCACAAAATACATCAGTTAACCATATATTGTAATATATTTTTTGAATATTTTATAACTCATTATCTTTTATTATTTGGGTTACATTGTGTATTCCCTAATAACTAAATAATAGACAGTTATATTTAAAAAATGAATTAAAAAGATATATTTTTTTAATTCTTTTTTTTTATAGCAGGCTAAAGCGGCTTTAGCTGAACCCTAAACAATGAACAAGTAGCTTTCACATATCACGCAGTTTGTATGCAAAACTTGATAAAGGTAGGTGTGACTGTGTCACTGATCATAATTCATGATATTTTCTGCATGGTGGATGAAATGATAAAGAAAGGATCCGCTCCACAAACAAATACATGAGAAATGTGTTATTATAAGCTGTGGCACAGCCATGTGAGAGGAGTGGCTGGGAAAATGCAGAAAGTTCCTTGTTTTATTACAACTGTCATTTGTTTTAGTCAGTTACCATAATTGCCTTGGTTATGTTGCAGCCAACTACAAGAAATTAGAAGTTGCTTGTTTAACAGGTTTGAACACAGAGGAACATCTGACTGCAGTCAGTGGATGAAACTTGGCACAGAAGTGATTTTTTTTTAAAAATTTCATAACTTTCCAACAAACCATGTTTCATATGAACATGGTTGTATATTGTTCACATGTTGAAAATAAATTACCAAACTTTGTAGAAACCCCAAACTCACTTAGATATCTAATAATATGCATACATTTGTTTATTATACACTGATTATCCATATTATCACCTACCTAGTACCGTGTTCAGTAAAAACAGCTTTGAGTCTTTAAAGCATGGACATAACATGCTTAGGGGATGTTAGCAGTAGATGACTTGGGTGTATCAAAATGCAGTAATGGAGAAAATGCATGTTATTGTTGAAAGAACAGAAGTGTAAATACATTTGACGACATGTGATGTTACACAACAATAAAACTGCACATCAGTGACATATTTCAATCCTGTCTGTGTGGACAAATGGGAGCAGTGGTGCTCATGGAGCTGGACCTATGCTGTGCTTTTTTGTGAAGCAGCCCGTTATTGAAGGAGCTGCTCAGGTTTTACTCAGTGTCCTATACAGGCATCCTCCTCTAACAAGGAGGACACCGTATTTAACACTGCCCTGGTTCTAGGGTGCACAGTGTTGATTATTTATTTTCTGTCATCCTTTTAGAAGCAGCTGCCCTAGCAGACTATTCCAAAGAAAGTGCAAAGTGCACCACAGAGTCAGAAAGGCCTGCAGCAGATAATCTGTTTGCCATTTCATTTGTTAAGAGTGTTATTCACTTGACCCATTTTAATATTGTGTACTCAATTTGACAGTGACAACATATGGGCAATTTCTAGTGAAAGATAAATCAGTAAAAATGGAGATGTTAAGTATTAAACCCGGCCTACATTACTTCTAAAACAACTACAGCTTATAAAACAATTATATCTAATCATTAGTTGTTAATCCAGCTCTCGTCTACAGTGTGTCTTTTGTCCTGTCTCCTTACCCTCACCCCAACCAATTGGGGCAGATAGCCGCCCCTCCCTGAGCCTCGTTCTGACAAAAGTTTCTTTCAGCTAAAAGAGAGTTTTTCCTTCTCACCCTCTCTAAGTGCTTGCTCACAGGGGACTGCTTGATTGTTGATGGTTTTCAATATACAATATAAAGTACATTGAGGTGACTGCTGTTGTGATTTAGCACTAAAAATGAATAAAAAACTGTATTACATATTTGCCTATGTCATTGTAAAGTGCAGTTAAAAAATGTATGTCTGTGAGCACATAAGTGAGTTCAGTACGACCACACAAACCTGAAACACAGTAAAATTAAAAAGTAAAGTAAAACTAAAATATAAAAGTTAGGTTTGTAGTGTAGATTTATTTCAGTGTACCATGTCTGATTTGTAATCTTTTTCTCTTGTTCTCATGTATTTTTTTGTTGTATTTCATGTAGTGTATATTTTATTGTGCTGCATAGTTTTCATTTTATGTGTTTTGCTCTTTTCAAAGAACATTTATACTAAATCTTAACAAGAAACAAATTGACACATTTGTTACCTTCGATCTTCTCAGAGAGCCCTGTTTAAAATGTGGCTGCACACACAAGAGCACAGGTAAATAACTGGCTGCTACTTTTGGAAATTAGATACTCTCAGTAATCAAATTATAACAATTATAAGAGATTTTGCTCAGGTGCAGAACATAGTTCTTTAGTTACTAACGCACAACCAAGCTCTGGTATAAAAAAATGATCAGTTATCAGCCACGATCTTTACTCTGTTCGTCTGTGTTGGGTGTGTCTAAACAGTGTTAAAGGAATTCATGGGGATTTTTTTATGCCAGACTTCTGCGTCATAGTGAGACAGAAAAACTTGTTGTTGAACAGGATTCCAGTTATCACTGATGATCAGAAAAGATGAGGAAACATTTTTAGTTACAATAGAGAAAGAAGTCCATCATGTTTTGTCATTTTTCCAATGAAAAGCAACTGCTCAGGTGACAAAGTCATAGAAGTTTAATTATTTGAAATAAAACATTTGCACTAGTCATATATTCCTTCTTTGTAAAGCACTTCCTTAAATTTACAGCAGTCACAGTAGTCACTGATTTGCATCTGACCTGTTTACATTGTAACGGCTGTGAGATGCCACTCACAGGTGTATGAAGCAGGAACAACTGGTTTCAGAAAGTGACTCTACATAGTTCATCTTTTATTTCTTTTTTAATCTTATTTACGCTTGATGGTGAACTGAAGATTTGCACTAGATTAAGTATCAGTGGTGTTGAAAGGTGAGTATGATTTTTAGATTTTATGACTCACAACCTTGGGTCTTCCCAACTTGCCATATTTGAACTTCTTCCTCTGTCTGTTTCACGTTGGTTCAGGAATGTGTCCAAGTTAGATCTGGACACTATTAAACTCTTAATTATTACATCTTTTTAAGACTGTGATTCTCTAGAATCAGAAGGAAAGGGGGGAAATAGCAGGAAGAAAAGTGCACATGTTTAAGACAGAGAAACTAATCAGAGGTTCAGACAATATTCTATGATTTCACCAGTTTTTTTGTTAAGGTAATATGTTGATTAGTTGTAAAAACACCTTTGCTCCAAATACTTACAGTTTTCTGAAAACCTACATTTTTACTAGAGCTGTTTACCTGTATATAAAAGTATTCCCCGTGCGTATGCACACACACATATATATATGTATATGCATTATCCATAATATACATGCTTTTTAGGTGTGGAGAGTCTGGTGGTAAAGCAGTATTATTTCCCACATTCATAGTATTAAATTTTGTTGACAATCATTTGTACTAAAGGGCAACATTTAATGCAAAAATCCTCATGTTTGTCCAGTAAAACAAGTACAACTTAATGTACAACCTTAAATTTACAATAACACAAACAACATAAAAAGATGTTTTTGGTTTGTCTACTGGAGGAAAATACTACACCTTGTAATGTATATTTTATGCACATATATGTACATATAGATTCATTTTGACTTTATTTCCTGATTCATTTATCAGATCCTTTCCTTTAAAATCTTACTTTTTATATTTATCAGTGGACATAAGAATGTGCATTATGCATAGCACATAGTAAAATAACTTGAACTTGAACATGATGTCAAAGATTCTTCTGATGGAATGAAGCTTTTCACTACAAATTCTAGAGGAAAAATGAACTGAATTTGTTTCCTCTTTGTGTTTGCAGTAGTATCAGTTGTACATCCTCATGCTTGGATAAGCATCAGCTGCTACCATGAACTATGCACTGTTTCTAAACCTGCTGGCAGGTGGGTCTAAACACAGCTTTCAGTTTTTCCATTAACCATACAAGAATAGTACACCAGACATCAAATCTGTTTTATCAGCATCTAGAAAATATGCAGGTACCTACCAGGCTACTAAACCAGAACCCTCTAACTTTCTTGTTTCTATGCTAGAATGTTATGGGCTTCAATGCTGCACAAATCTATAATTATGTTAGCAAGTTAACATAACAACTTGAAAAAATAAAATGTTATATGAGAATTTGAAATGGGCATTAAAGGTGAGAAAACCCCGACACTGATGGAAATTTGCAGAGAACACTGGTCATTACAGCAAATCAATACTGAAAACTGGTGAACAATTATGTAAAATCCCCATAGAAGGTTTGGTTCAAAGATGGCAATACAAGCGTCTGAGGTTTACTATTTATTTTTACCCATTAACGAATATAAATGAATTCATCCTTTAGTTCAGGGGTAGGCAACCTTTCTAATGATGAGTGCCATCTAAAATTTCCTCAGAAGTCAATGTGCCATATGATTGCATTAGCAATAAATTTAATAACGCTCTTTATGAACAGTTACACACTATATAGAACTACTTTATAGAATTATATTTTGTTCGCAGATGTTGGCAGCTATCAGCAAATAGTTATCAGCTATTTTGAAACAAAAAAAAAGACACTTTTTATCCATAAGAAGAACCCCTAACAGCAAATAAACTGTACAACAGAAAATGCAAATGCTATTTATGGTCTCCTCACAACAAGAAAGAAAAATAAGAAAAATAAACTGGGCCAATATGGCATGTTTGTTAATACAGAGATACACATGTTAATCTGATATCTGGTCTCCCACTCAGATAAAAAGGTCTCCGAGTGTCCAGTGTTCAGACGGCTACCTGAGGACACTCTTTGTGTGAGAGAAAATCTGCTCACACAGATATGTAGAATCAAATACTGTCAATAAGGCCTCTGCAATGTTCTGAAGACAGTTAAACTTGTGAGATAGTGATGTCCAGCAGGTGAAAATGCAAGCTCCATGAACACGCACAGCTGTGGATTCCAACTGCGTTCATAGTTCTGCAAACTTTGACCCCCACAGAGTCGAGGTTTTCA